AAATGCCAACTCGTCACTTACTGAAACAAATCTGTTTTTTATATATTTATAAACCGGGGAAAGTACATCTCTGAGCAAATGATGAGTCATGTTTCTTCCTAACATGAACATCAATTCTTCATCCTGAATCAAAGCCTCTAATAAACAGCACAGTACACAGATGTATTCAGTAAATCTCTCCCTCAACCCACTCAGTGTTTGAAATGTCATCTAATAGTTTTATTAAAAGACAACAATAACAAGTAGACGGAAGCAAACTGGATGTGAAGCATCTGATGAAAACATGGCTACTGTAGAGCTTAGTTGAGGTTTGAAACAAATACATCAATTGCATGTTATCTATAAAGTCAAATTTCACATTTTAAGGATTGTACTGCAGACAACAGGGTCCTTAAAGACCCTCGCAGTTCACAATGAAAAATGTCCGTTGTAACAATACCGTTCACTGGAGTGTTGTAAATGATGTCATGTTATTTAAGTAGTTACAGTTTCCTTATGTCTTTCTTTCTGTCTGTCTGCCCTCCTTCCCATCCCTGTCCCCCACTCATCCTGAGGGGGAGGGGGGACCGAGACGTCAGACTGACTGGTTCCAGATGCATCCTTTTGTCCATCAGAAAAGTGCATTTCTGGATGATGAAGTGCTTTCTTCAATCTAGGTGGAAATCCCCATTAAGGTTATACTTAATAAATGTAAGATATGGGACTTTTTCACCTTGGCTGTGCCATTTAACCTGTTAACCCCTGAGCCTGTTTTCAGGTCTCAGACTCGAAAATGACATTCCCAGAACAAATGACTATATCTTCACTTCTAAAAGGGGTAAATTAATAATCTTTTTTCTCAAAGCAATGATAAACCTCTGAGTTGGATGTGGAAAAGTAAGAATCAATATAGATCTTTTTTATTTTAAAGTAAATTCAGATTGAACATAGTAAAAAAATTTAAATGATAAATTCCGTCCAAAAAAACCCATTACTTATAGTGAAAACCAGTAATGGGGATTTCTTTACTGGGTGGACGCTATTTTAATTAGGTCATCCCAAACAATGCCCCAAGTGCGCACAAGCGCAGGTGTTCAGGTATAGGTTGTACAGGTTGTACCTTTCTTCTCGTGAATGATATTCTTTTTAGAAAATAAGTCAAGTAACGTTGTTTTGCCTGCCATTATAGAGTTTTGTTTCGTTCAAATACACACTTGCAACTGATTGTTGGGGAATAATTCTCCTTTACTCCTAGATATCTAACCTTTTTGCCCTTTGACGTTTATGACCAACCCTGACGTCTGTTATCTCCCTTAAGGAATGGAAGGCTCCAGCTATATGTTGTTATTCCCAGTTTATGACCGGGCAACTCTTGGTCACAAATGGTTTATGGTTGTGAGAACACTGGAACATTTCCTTCTCGGCCATGAGGGTAAGACAAGTGATTCAGTGTTCCCAGATGTTTAGGCTATCTCCAGTGTTCCCAGATGTTTACGTTATCTCCCCCAATATGATTACTCTCTGTAAACTATTTAAAAGGTCTAGCAGGAGAGAGGCGCTGCAGAATTGACGTGGCAACTCTCCCGTGCAGTCAGAACCTCTGGCTGCTGTGACTTGTGATGTGAATCCTCCGGCCGATACTCGTAATAAACCATCAGTGTTTGACATCAAAGCTCCGACTCCCCTCGTCTCTCTCTGAGTCCTGACTCTCCATTGCTACAGAAGTTTCTCTTACACTGATAACACTGGCAATGATTTTATATTTATTAGACTATTCCAAAAAAATCATGCTACAATAAAGTGGGGTCTCCAAATAAGTGGGGGAACGGCGAGCCCCCGCTTCCAACGACCACTACACCACTGGTGAAAACCACCCTTGAATGATGGGATCGTAGACTAAAAGCTTTAGGAATCCAAACTATAACATATAATAAGTACCTTTTATCAAGATTGATGCAAAACAAGCGACATTTGACCTTTTTAGAGAGGTTTAGCTAAAAAAAGAAAAAACCTCCGGGGTCATTTGGGTGGATTTGCCGTTTCTCTGGAACCCATTGGTTGATTTTGATGATTGACACCTCTTTTTAACCTAAATCCATCAACACGTTACCATGAGGAGTGAGAGTGATGCGCACCCAGTTTGCCCAAACCGAAAGCTATGTTACGCTCTGAAAACTGAAAACTGAAAACTACGCTTTTTGCCATAAATACGAAGATGGATTATCAGTAATCCTTTCAAAGTGACTCAGAGACATTGGATTAACATTCAGCTGCCTTTTATGCGTTTTGATGCCATTGAACACAACTTTTGATGAGAAAACAGCAACGGTAAGACTTATGTTCCGTTTTGGTCCCGTAAAGCTACGTTGTGTGATGTCTGGGTTTGCTTCCCCTGGCGCGAGTTTTGATCGTTCAGTGATGATACTTATACCCCTATAATCTGTGGAATCTCAGTTTGCTAGCTGATACCTTGTTTGTGCAGATCCGATAAGTAATAAAGTATTTCTACCGTGAGTTCTGTGCTAAGTGCTTTAGCATTTCTTCGCTTAGTGCTAATTCAGAGGCTTAGCGTTAGAGTTGTGTTTTGTTTGGCTAAAAATGGTTCATATCATCAGTTAGCTGAGTTTCTTCCCGTTAGGTGGGTATGACACATTAATAGGTTGTTAAATGTTAAGAAGCCCTGAGATACAGTTTCGTGAAAAAAAAAGCCTGCAGCCCCCAAGCTGCACGTAACTCTTAATAATGTGACTTTTTATGTAGTAAACACACACTATCAATATCCATTTGTTCTGAGCATATCAAAGGTGCCAGCACTCTGAGGTCAAAGGTCACATGTCCACTGGCTCGACTGTTAACATTTGTGTTTGATCTGATGGTCCTGGTGGGCATGTTTTAAAAAAGAAATGGGTCTCAGGTTCATATTAACACTTATTTTCTTATACAAATACCAAAAACATCCCAAAGACAGGCTGGTCTCTAACTTTTTCCTGGCTATAAGTGATGCATTTCAATGGGTTGACCAAAAGGCTTTCACATTCTTCATAAAACCAATAAAACATGGTCAGGTTTTTTTGTGTCCTGACAAGTTAATCAGGCCACACAAGCTTCATCATGGTTGTCAACGGACAGTATGCATCATAAACAACATTATTCTCTCTTCTGCAGGATAAAAACAGATATTTATATGGTGACACATCCATTTGGTCTTAGCATAGTCCGCTCACCATCAACATAAACAGTTATTTGGCAAAAATTAAAAAGGCAGACTGAGGTAAAGCCTTGAGGGGCTTCACAGAAATGGATAGGAAACTGATTTTATGAACTTATTTACCAAATTCATAAGCCAGCAACATAATGTACCTCTGCAGAAGGTCTAAAGCTTAAATCACAGATCACCCTTTAACGTGACACCCAGTGGTTCAAAATAACTAAGTAAATAAAGTAAGGTACTGCATCTAAGCACAATTTTGATCAACTTGTTTTGAGTTTTTCTGCTACTTTATAGTTAAATTACTCTCTTATTATTGTATAATTGTCTTATTTATTGGTTTACTTGAGTTAATAATCACTATGCAGCTTCAGATTGATAATAGTTTAGTTTAGTTCAGTCCCCATTGATCAACTGTCACAAAAAACAGTAAATGGGGCCGCTTTAGCCAACATTGCTAATTTCCAGCTGTTGTCCCCTGGGCAGCCTTAAAATCACAATATCTCAACAGCAATAGTTATAAAAAAAAGGATGAAAGACAAGTAGATACAGGCGAAACGATAAAAGAGAACAATAAAATGCAAACAACCAACGTTACTACATGTCACATAGAGCAATCACATAACATATAAATCATAGTCAACAAATACATGATGATTAATTATTATTTTAGGAGATAAGGTGTTATTTAGCCCCAGTTGATCAATTCTGAAATGAATGAGTACTTTTACTCTTGATAGTTGATGCTAATTCACATGTTCTTTAACTTGAGTAACATGTTAAATGCCCAACAAGTTGGAGTACCTCTCTGTGATGCCCCTGTGGGTTCATCTAGAGAGGGTGGCCGTTTCTCAATCTCGAGGATACTGGCTTCCAAGCCAAAACCTTAAAATTCCTGGCGCTTCAGAATGGGTTCACGTCGGAACTATAAAGGGGGTTATGGTTCCCTGCGCCCGCGAGACACCTTAAGGTTCAACGACCTCTAACCTTGTCATGAAGCCGCCGTGAGCCCTACTGCCCATCTTAG